GCTCGCCTCGCGGCGGACCGCCAGCTCGATCCCAAGATCCAACTACGAGCTTTTTAACTGCAGCAACTTTAATATACGCTATTGGAGCTGGAATTACCGCGGCTGCTGGCACCAGACTTGCCCTCCAATAGATCCTCGTTAAAGGATTTAAAGTGTACTCATTCCAATTACAGGGCCTCGAAAGAGTCCTGTATTGTTATTTTTCGTCACTACCTCCCCGAGTCGGGAGTGGGGTAATTTGCGCGCCTGCTGCCTTCCTTGGATGTGGTAGCCGTTTCTCAGGCTCCCTCTCCGGAATCGAACCCTGATTCCCCGTTACCCGTGGTCACCATGGTAGGCGCAGAAAAGTACCATCGAAAGTTGATAGGGCAGACATCCGAATGTATCGTCGCCGTCACGGGGGACGTGCGATCGGCCCGAGGTTATCTAGAGTCACCAAAGCGGCCGGGGGGGAGAGGGGCCGGGGCCCCCCGGGCCCCCGGATGGGTTTTTGGTCTGATAAATGCACGCATCCCTGGGGGTCAGCGCTCGTCGGCATGTATTAGCTCTAGAATTACCACAGTTTATCCAAGTAACAGATGGAGCGATCAAAGGAACCATAACTGATTTAATGAGCCATTCGCAGTTTCACTGTACCGGCCGTGTGTACTTACACGTGCATGGCTTAATCTTTGAGACAAGCATATGCTACTGGCAGGATCAACCAGGTAGCCGCCTCTCGCCCCCTGGGTGGCGGGGAGGGCTTGAGAGAGCGGTGGGGGGGGGGGGTCGGTCGCCGGCCGAGGGTTGGCGGGGGGGGGGGGGGGGGGTCACGGGGGGGGGGGGGGTCACCCCCTCGGCGGACGACCGGCCCGGCTCTCGGAGGGTCCTCGTAAGGGTTTTTGGCCCACGCCGCCCGCCCGCTCCCCGGGGGGGAGGGGGGGCGCGCGGGGCAAACCGAACTCGTGCGGCTCGCTCGAGGAGGGAAGGCGGCGCGTCGCGCCCCGGGGAGTCTCGTCTGCGCGCGCCTTCCGACGCCGCCGGAGGGAGCGGGTGAGGCGCGCGCCGCCGAGGCCCTGCCGGCCCCCCTGGGGCTCGGGGCCTGGGCGCTCTCTCTCCTCCCCTCCCCGCCGGGGCACGGGTGGGGCGACGGGTGCCGCCGGAATCTGAATCGCTGCGCGCTGCTCTCCCCGGCGCCGCGGGGCCCGGGCCCGGCGACGAGAGACGGGTGGGGGGGGAGGGGGGGGGGCGGGTCGTGCGCGGGGGGTCGGGGCGTGCGGATCGAGTGCGCGTGGAAGAGCGGGCCCCTAGCCCTGCCCCCCCCCGGCCCAACCACCGACTGACCTGCCGACGCCACTCTCCTCCGGGTCACCCATCTCCAACGCGCTCGGACCGGGGCCCGCCGGCCGGCGTCCTCTGGCCTCTCCCGGTACTCTTTCGGGCCCTGGCAGACTCACCGGCTGGAGGGGGGGGGGAGGGGGAGAGTAGGCCTCCCTAGGGAGGGAAGGAAACGAAAACCCAAAAAAAACCTCTCTCCCCCCCCCCCCTAAACGGCGGGGGGAGCCCGACCTGCCTTACCTACCGCGGTGCGGGTCCCGGGGGGACGCGTCCCCTGGCGGGGGGGAGGAGGGCGAGGCGCGCGCGCGCGGCGGCCTGCCGGCCCCCCCTGGGGGGCTCGGGGCCTGGGCGCGCTCCCCTCCCCGCCGGGGGGGGCGGGGGGCTCCATCGGTCTTGGCCCGGCTAGCGGGGAGCGGTCCCGTGGGGGTGGCTGGGCGAGGGGGGTAAAAAGCCGGGCTCGCTCTCTGTCACCGTCTACCCCCTCCCAGTAATCTGCAGGAGGGTTCCCGGCCCGGGTCTGGACGACCGGTGATGGGCCGCCCCGACGTTGACCGGGAAAAGCGGGGACCCCGGGCCGCCCTCCCCCGGGTTCCCTCATCCGAGGTCCCGACCTCATTCGCGACTTCCGAGGGGATCGCGGCCAGGACGCCACAAAGTGCCGTCGGTCAGCTTCCCCCGAGACAACCCGGCCCCCCCCTGGGGCTCGGGGGCCTGGGCGCGCGCTCTCTCCTCCCTCCCCGCAGGGCGCGGGGGGCTCCATCGATCTTGGCCCCGGCTAGCGGGGCCAGCGGTCCCGTGGGGGGTGGTGGCGAGGGGGTAAAAGCCCGGGCTCGCTCTCTGTCACCGTCTACCCCCCTCCCAGTAATCTGCAGGAGGGTTCCCGGCCCGGTCTGGACGACCGGAGGCCGCCCGACGTTGACCGGGAAAAGCGGGGACCCCGGGCCGCCCTCCCCCGGTTCTCTCATCCGAGGTCCCGACCTCATTCGCGACGACTTCCGAGGGGATCGCGGGCCAGGACGCCCACAAAGTGCCCGTCGGTCAGCTTCCCGAGAACCGCGTCGCCCCCCCCTGGGGGCTCGGGGCCTGGGCGCGCTCTCCCCTCCCCGCAGGGCGCGGGGGCTCTCCATCGATCTTGGCCCGGCTAGCGGGGAGCGGCGGGAGTTCCGGCGGGGGTGTGGGCGAGGGGGTAAAAAGCCGGGCTCGCTCTGTCACCTGTCCCCCCTCCCAGTAATCTGCAGGAGGGTTCCCGGCCCGGTCTGGACGACCGGAAGCGGCCCCCGACGTTGACCGGGAAAAAGCGGGGACCCCGGGCCGCCCTCCCCGGTTTCTCTCATCCGAGGTCCCGACCTCATTCGCGACTTCCGAGGGGGATCGCGGCCAGGACGCCACAAAGTGCCGTCGGTCAGCTTCCCGAGACAACCCGCGGGCCCCCCCCCTCGGGGGCTCGGGGCCTGCTCGCGCTCTCCCCTCCCCGCAGGGCGCGGGGGGCTCCATCGATCTTGGCCCGGCTAGCGGGGAGCGGTCCCGTGTGCGGGTGGGGCGAGGGGGTGAAAGCCGGGCTCGCTCTGTCACCGTCTAACCCCCCTCCCAGTAATCTGCAGGAGGGTTCCCGGCCGGGTCTGGACGACCGGAGGCCGCCCGACGTTGACCGGGAAAAGCCGGGACCCCGGGCCGCCCCTCCCGCCCCCCCGGTTTCTCTCATCCGAGGTCCCGACCTCATTTCGCCACTTCCGCGGGGATCGCGGCCGGAACGCCGCAAAGTGCCGCCGGTCAGCTTCCCGAGACAACCGCAAACCGCAAACCGCGGCCGGCTCCGAGCCGCGGCCGCTGCCCGCGGACGGCTCCAGACATCGCGGCCGGCTCCCGGGTGCCTCCGGCCGGCTTCCCGGACCCGCGGCTGCCCGCGGACGGCTCCAGACATCGCGGCCGGCTCCCGGGTGCCCCCGGCCGGCTTCCAGGACCCGCGGACGGCTCCAGACATCGCGGCCGGCTCCCGGGTGCCCCCGTCCGGCTTCCAGGAGCCGCGGACGGCTCCAGACTCCCCCAAGTGCCGCCGGCCAGCTTCCCGAGACAACCGCTGCTGACCGCGGACGGCTCCAGACATCGCGGCCGGCTCCCGGGTGCCTCCGGCCGGCTCGCCGGACTTCCCGGACCCGCGGACGGCTCCAGACATCGCGGTCGGCTCCCGGGTCCCGCCGGTCAGCTTCCCCCGAGACAACCGCTGACCCCGGACGGCTCCAGAGCTCGCGCGCGGCTCCCGGCGCCCCCCCGGCCGGCTTCCAGGACCCGACGCCGCGGACGGCTCCAGACATGCGCGGCCGCTCCCGGGTCCCGCCCGGGCCGGCTTTCCAGGACCCGCGGACGGCTCCAGACTCCGAGTGCCGCCGGTCCAGCTTCCCGGGACATCCGCGGCCGCTGCCCGCGGACGGCTCCAGACATCGGCGGCCGGCTCCCGGGTGCCCCCCCCCCCCGGCCAGCTTCCCGGACAACCGCGGCCCGCTGCCCGCGGACGGCTCCAGAGCTCGCGCCCGGCTGGGCTCCCGGGTGCCCCCCCGGTCGGCATCCAGGACGGCCCGCGGACGGCTCCAGACGTGGCGGCCGGCTCCCGGGTGCCCCCCGGCCCCAGCTTCCCCGGACAACCGCGGCCGCTGCCCGCGGACGGCTCCAGAGCTCGCGCCCGGCTCCCGGGTGCCCCCGGCCGGCATCCAGGACCCGCGGACGGCTCCAGACATGGCGGCTGGCTCCCGGGTGCCCCCCGGCCAGCTTCCCCGGACAACCGCCGGGTCGCGCTCCCGGCTTCCCGGACCCGCGGGACGCTCCGCGCGGACGGCTCCAGACATGGCGGCGGGGCGACCGGCTTCCCGGACCCGCGGACGCCCGCGGACGGCTCCAGACGTGGCGGCCTGCTCCCGGGTACCGTCACTTGTGTCCTTTAGCTTCCTGGCAGGTCTTGTCCGTGCCTTGCCTCTCAGACCCGGCCTGTGTGGCCTTCCCAATCTACGGTGACCCCAAAACACCACACCGACCCCGGGGCGCATCTGCTTATCCACAATCACTTAGAGGGGATGCCGCCTCCTCTCCGCCTTCAATGTCGGACACAACATGGATTGCACCGTATGCCTCCACCCCCCAGCGACTCGCGTCCGATCTGCCGGGCGCCTGGTGCCCGCGTGTCCTTTTCTCTCACCACCACCACTTCGCCCGCACAAACCGTAGACCAACACTCACCCCGCTCCACTCCAGATGTCCCCGCCCCTCCATGGCAACAAGAGCAAACATGTACCACTCCTATTGTTCCCCACTCCACCCCTAAGCAACACGATCCATTCGTACGATCCTCCCCACGCACTATCACCATGGGAAAGTGTGGACCCTCAGTCAATTAGGTCGCGATGGGGGAGAGTGCCGCCACGCCCGGACCGCTGGCGGTGGCCTGGGGCAGACACGCGAACCCGAGTAGGTGGCTCGGGCTCCCCTCCCCGTGCGCTCCCTGCCATGTCCCCCTCCCCGCCCCCCCCCCCCCTCCTCCTCCCCCCCCCGTGGGCATGCGGGGGGGAGGGGGGGGGGCCTGCCCCTCGGGCCCGGTACCGTGGGGCGCCCCCCCCCAAAAAAAATGCGCCGGCGCTCCAACAAACCTACACTTCACCTCGTCCGCCGAGCCACCCACCTCCATTAAAACGCGGCCGCAAGAATGGCTTCCACACCACCGTCCACCGTCAATCTGCTTCACCACCCCGGCCGAGAGACCTCATAGGCTGCACGCAGAGCTCCAGCGGATGCCAGAACTCGGCTCGCCGCGAGAGACCTGCGCCCCCCGCGCCTCCCATCCGTCAATCCAGGCCCTCCACCGATTCACTGCCGGATCTCACAACCCACAAGCCAACCACACCCCAGCCTAGTTGACACCACCCGCGCCCTACGGTGCTGGTCCAGCATCCCCTCCCCTCCCCCCCCAGCTGTCTCCCGATCCCCCTCCCCAGCTGTCCCCCCCCCCGAACGCCTCCCCCGGGCACTGAAAAAAGCTTCGAACACCCCCCCGCCCACTCCCCCTCCCCCTTCTCTCGCACCCCCCTACCCCCCCCCCCCCGCCGGCCTCTCTTGCCCCCCCCCTACGTCCGGGCGCTGCACCCACGCGCGCACCTACCGGCCGCACACTTTCCCCCTCTCAGATCGTGGCTGGATGTCCTTTCCGCCGGACCACAGGCCCGCCTCATCAGCCGCCCACCCCCGCCCCCCCCGCTGCATCCACCCGCCCCACCCGACCCCACCCACCGCTCTCCAACTTCTGCCTCCGCCTCTGCCCAGCCAGCTGACGCCCCCCAAACCAAATCTCGCCCCCGCCCCCATGCCCTCGCACCCTACCCGCCCGCCCGCTCTGTCGCCTCGGCGCCGCCCCCCCCATGCCCCCCGCGTGCCGCGGTTTGTTCCCGCCCCCCCCCCCCCCCCCCCCAACCCCTGCGCACACTGGGGGGGGGCCACAACGCGGGAGGGCCAATCCCGCCCGGGGCCGGCGACACTCGCCCTCCCCTCCCCGCCACCCACCCACACCCCTCCGGCTCCCCCACCCGCTCATGCGACAGACGTCGCCATGGCTGCCCCTCCCCACCACAAGGTCCTTCCGCGGGCTGCCGGCCGCCCCCCCCCCCCACCCTATCCGCGCTACAGCCCGTTCCCCCCCCCATTCCTCGCAACCCCGGGGCCGGAACGTCCGGACGCGTGGTCCTCCACCCACGGTTTCGCTAGACTATCCGGCCGGGGGCTCGTGCACCTCCGCTCCCTTTCCCTACTCGCTCCACGCCCCCTCGGTTCTCTCCGCCGGCAAAGTGCCGTTCCTGGCGTGGTGCGCGTCGGCCTCCTGCTCAGGCGTGTCGCCACGGGCAAGCCCTCACCACTAAACAAAAACTCCGAGCCGGCGGCCTGGAGTCCACCCTCCGCCCCCGCGCCGGCCCCCCCGGCCGCCCCCCGCGGCGGCGCGCCCCCCTCCCCGCCCCCGCGCCCCCGCCCCCCCCGGGGGAGGAGGGGGGGGGCGGAGGGGGCGGGCGGAGGCGGGGGGGAGGGGGGGGGGGGCGGCGGGCGGG